GACAAACATCTAGACTGCATCTCTAAACATCACACCCACCCTAAAAATTTCATTTTGATTCCAATTCACCATAGTGCTGGTCCTTGTTCATCACTTCTCTTATCATCATAACTATTCTCCTTCTCATCACCATCTCCATCAGACTGTCAGCGCTACGGCAACCAGTCCTCATTTCCACCATCCCTACTGTCGTCATGATCAGTCACCACTCGTATCTACCAGTCCAGCACTTAAACTTTTGTGGGCAGCATGTGGCTCAGTGGGCTAAGCCTGTGTGCCTGTAATCAGAAGATCACCGGTTCAAACCCAGCCTTAGCATGTCTGTGGGTCCTTGAGCAAGGCCCTTAACCCCCAGCTCCCTGAGTGCACCAACAGGTGGCTGTCCTTCACAGACTGCTTACTCTACAAAAAAAAGAGTAAGCTGAGGGAGGTGTAAAGACAATTTCCCCACAGGGATCAATAAATTATTATTATTATTATCTGTGTAATCCAGCATTCAGCCAGACAAATACACTACAAAATGAATATAATATAAAAATGTTCTTTTCTTCTACGCACAACTGGTTATTTATGCCACAAATAAATTAATTCACTTATTATCCCAAGTTCCATTTAAGTTGAATAAACAGAAACCAAGGTTTTCTTTGGGAACTGATTTTCCCACCGTTTACAATGAGATAAACATTGTGTGTGGGAAAGTATGTGTCTCGTCTCCTGAAGTAATCGCGTGTGTGTGTGTGTGTGTGTGTGCGCGCGCGCGTATAAAATAAACGTAGGTCTATACGATAACTTCTTACTTTATCATTACCATCTTAGCATTTTTACAGTTGGAAAAATGGCTAAATATCTTGATGCTGTTACATATGTCCATGAAAATACAATGACATGCTATATGCCATAACAACATTTTTATTGACTGAAACTTCGTCAAAAAGTCGACGCGAGATGCCAAGAAATTTGGAATTACATGGATTTACCTGAAATACGCATAAATCGATGAACAAGTATTTGTACAAACCTGTCAATTTGAAATCCTCCATAAAAACACGGATAAATTGAGTAATTCTATGTCGCTAGAACTTTGCAACTAAGTTTTTTTTTTTTAACAAAAATATTACAAATACAACGTTTTAATCATCAATACGTGTTCCACAAACTTTTCAGTTTGATTCCACGAAACATGTACCATCGCTTTCCGTCAAAAATGGAAAAATAACATACACGAAATCGTCTCATTTCCTCATATCGCTTGTTATTCTGCATGCTTATTTCGGGAAGGTTCCCCTTATCCGCATTCGGATTAAATGCCAGTGATTCAGCGGAGCGATCAAAGCTAACGAACCCGTCCAGGTAAAACAGAAGCGTGACTTACCTTCCATAACCTGAAGAGCAGCGGAAAGGCGGTAAAGCCAGAAGGCGAGCTGTACGACCGACGGCCACCCAGAGAGGCTGAAGGCGAAGTCAGGGCTTAGACAGCATTCATTTTCGCAAACCATGCTAATTGAAATAACATTTAATAGTGAGGTACGTACCGGAAATTCATTGTGGATACCAATAGCGATCCCGGGGTAAAGTCCTGGCATGCATACGTCCGCGTGCTGCAGTCCCAGTTCGTCCCGCACACGCGCTCCTCTCACCCCTCTCCTCTCTCCTCCCTTCTCTCTCCTCCCTCCTCTCCCCCCTTTACCTTCTAGACCGCTGGCGGCTCGGAACCAAACAAAGGGAGCCTCAGTATTTCAGTGCCTCAAACGGCCCTCAGACAGTGAAACCCGATGCCGTTAAGTCCCCCTGTAGACCACCGCTTCGAACCTTGCGCCTCCAGCCCATCGAAATGGACGCGCGTTACGGCGCACAGGTACAGCTAACGACTTTTATATGATCTCGAGTTCTTATTACCTGAGATGTGAGTATCCAGGTGGTGGGTTTAGGTTTTAAGTAAATACACATTACATAAATAAGGCATAAAAAGTACATTACTCAGAAAAACCAAAATCATTTTAAACTATAACATATACTATTAAATTCAGATAGCACTTTTTATTCGATATTTAGCAAAATATGAGTGAGATGTTTCTGATGAATCTAAACAGCCACTGATAAAATGATAGCTGATCTTTTCTTGAATAAAAGATCGATCTTGACCCAAAGCCGGCCTGTCGAGTGTGATTCGGCACAGTCCCCTCCACGCACCTCGTTAGGTCTCATCACTCGGGGCTTTAACGCCAAGTATTTTAGCTCCGATGCCAATTATCCTCCTCCAAAAACAAAAAAGTCAAGCCCCATATAAACTTCACTTTAGCCCCCGATCTTTTCAATAGCTAGAAACGCCCCAGGTCGCCTCTCAGACCCCCCCATCTCAGACCCCCTCCTCTCAGGCACAGTACGCCACCCTTCTGCATGTTCACAACTGCAGGGCAGGTTGGATCACAAGATACATCAATAAGGGCAGGAATAGTCGCTCTGAGGAGAGGAGCTGCTGGGGTGGGCAGGAGTCCAGGGTCACATTTTTCCTATTTTAGCTGTGGGTGTTTGTGTTGGATTTAGAGTTCCGTCAGCCACGTCTGTGTAGCTGGTTGTATCCCTGAAGTGCTCAATGGATTTCTGCTTAAAGCTGAGCCACTAAGAGGGTGAACCTTCATTCCAGAGTCCTCATCCTGGCGTGTAGAAGTGATGTCATTGTTTACACTTCACCACCAGTGATGAAATTGAATTAGGGTAAGGGATTGACAAATAGTAATGGATAAAATGATGCTTCATGAACCTTTTGCTGTATTTTTGACCCCATTAGATGCTGCTCTTGGGTTGCTCTGGGGCATGCTTTATGCCTGTTTGTTGACGCACCAGCCCTTCCTCTGTCATAACAGTCTATGTTCCTGTCCAGGCAGGAAGTGCAGTGGACATCAGCCCTTCCTCTGTCATAACAGTCTATGTTCCTGTCCAGGCAGGAAGTGCAGTGGACATCAGCCCTTCCTTTGTCATAAGAGTCTGTTTTCCTGTCTGGGTATGAGGTGCAGTGGGCACACTTCTTAATCAGCAGCCTCATGTGCAATAGTCCACCTACACACACACACACACACACACACCAAAAGGCAGCAAAATGGAAATTGTCACACTGTTGTCAGTGTGAATGTTTACCAACAGCCAGGGGGGCGTGAGGATGTCTATGGTCCAGGCAACCACTCCCCATGTTCTTTAAGGTCAGCAGCCCATCTCTTCCTGTTGCAAATCACCTGCTGTTGAATACTGGTAGCTGTGTGTCAGGGCAAGCATGGGTGATGCAATTCCCCGCCTTCCAGATCAAAAGCAGAAAACCAGAAGTGCACTAATGAATGTAAAAATGTGCCCTTCATTCAGCTCTCTGCCTGCCTGCAGAGCCAGACGCAGTCGGGAAGATCCCTATCAGCAGATGATACTGTCACAGCCACGAATATCTGAAGAGCTTTTCTGCAACTGGGGACTTTTCTTCTGTTGGACTTTAGTCAACGGTCTCCAAAAGGCTGATATCTGACAGGTAGGCATTGGTTTCAGGGGGGTCAGATTCTCTTCAATCAGTATCTGACGTGTGAAGAGGCGCTGCACGGTGCATGCCGTCAGGTGAGGCCGAGGGCAGAGCCGCGCCCACAGGCCGTCAGGTGAGGCAGAGGGCACAGCCGCGCCCACAGGCCGTCNGAGGCCGAGGGCAGAGCCGCGCCCACAGGCCGTCAGGTGAGGCAGAGGGCACAGCCGCGCCCACAGGCCGTCTGGTGAGGCCGAGGGCAGAGCCATGCCCACAGGCCGTCATAGAGGGCCGAGGGCACAGCCACGTCCACGGGCCATCATACAGGGTCGAGGGCAGAGCCGCGCCCACAGGCCGTCAGGTGCGGTTCGAGGGCACAGCCGCGCCCACAGGCCGTCATAGAGGGTCGAGGGCAGAGCCGCGCCCACAGGCTGTCTGGTGGGGCTGAGGGCTTCACTTTCATCAGCCGTGAAGCTCTGACTTGGGAAAACCGACATGCTGGGGGATTTCTGGTATCGTGGAATCCGCGTGTAGGCGGCCGAATATTGTGCATTCATGCTGGCGAAGCACGGTGCCCTATGCACCGGGTAACTAGTAAACCACATACGGGGGGTGAACCGCCCACCCACAGTCAGGATAGCAAACATTGGTCCTCAGATTTGCTTTCCTCAAGCCCAGTGCCCAATGTGTCCTATTAACCAACTCTGCCAGTACCTGAACGTGGCAGGAGGCTGTTCAGGGCAACCTTTTCCAGCCCTAGACCTCTTGGATTACTGTGTGTCTTGGTTTCCTGTCCACAGACGCAGATACACCAGATTTAAGAAGTGCGGTTGTGATGGTCAACCTAACTGCCGTAATGATCCTGCCTGAAAAAGCCTGGGGGCTGCGTGCCGATTTGAGTCACCGCCAAGATCACTGATCATAAAGTGAAAAGGACGAGAGAAACATTGTCAAACTTTTCTCCTGATTTTGTATCCTCACACACGGTGGCCTTTGGCACTCACGGTGTCAGCTAACCTGGGTGTGATACAGTCCCCCTGTCCTCCCTGGGCACCGCTGCTGCCCCCTGTCCTCTCTGGGCTGCCAGTGTCTCCACTCCACACATCGCCCTAGGGATATGCAGCTCACACATGCTGGCATATTAACTGCTGTCGCATGGGTACAACCAAAAATCGACATAATCCTGCCTGCGTCATGAGGATACGGATGGATAATAACTTCTGCTGAGCTGCTCAGGTCCTAGAAGTGAGAAGATCTGTGTGTGTTCCAGCTCCCAGCAGCTACTGTGATATCTTGTTGTCCTAACAGGGGAGTGGCTTGTCTGAACTCGGTTACTGAGGTCAAAGGGCCCCAGGTTAGACAGACAAGCCGGAGACTCTGCTTTTAAAGTGGATGCCCCCCCTCGCCGTCAGATCTCCGTGAACGAGTGCGTGACTTGTCAGGAATGCATGTGTAGGATGAGGCAGTGGCCCAGCTGTGGGCCGCCAGCCGTGCGCTCCCAGTCCTGCCAGTGCTGTTGCCATGACCACACGAGGGACATAGTAGCGGGGGTACCCTAAGCACTGTAGAAAGTTCATCTGGATCCTCCCTGCATTCGTAATGTCATCTTTTACATTAAGGGAATATTTGACACCAACTTGTTTGTGGAAGATTGTAGCTCATTTCTATACACGAGAAATGTACTGTAACTGTGTAGTAGTTCATGCGGAACCTAAGTGACCCTCTGCTGAAATGATTCTAGATGACATAGTGGAAATAGCAGAACACACGCCTGGGTTTGGTACAAGTCCGCCTTCATGGTGAATGCAGTATGCAGTCACTCCTACTGAATGGCTTCCATTCAAATAGGAAGCTTGCAGAGAGACTCCAGGGACTCCGGGAAGGTGAGTGAGTGCCGGCATTGTGTCGTCATGGTGCCGTTCAAGCAGAACTTCACTCCTTACGCTGTGGAAGCAGCTCGTCGGCTCTGTTACACGTGAGGACAGAAAAAAGCAGCACGAGGACCTTGTGGAGTGACTGCAAGTCATTTAACTCTTTGACACAGGTTTTATCTTCAGTAGGAAAGAAATCGGTGTCATATAGTGACTGGATTTTCCGCTTATTGCTCATGTGCACAATGCGGATCAATGGCCGGACCTGCTTCCCTATATTTATTTACTGCATGCAGAGGGGATTTCAGTTCGGCTCCTGTGTAAGTTTGTCATTTAGCAGGCAGGCAGGGAAACGTCACAGTCTGCATCAGGTTTGCTTGAGCAGGTCCACACCCCCCCCCCAGTGGGGTTACAGGTCCATACCCCCCCAGTGGGATTATAGGTCCACACCCCACCTCCCACAATGGGGTTACAGGTCCATACCCCCCACAGTGGGGTTTCAGCCCCCGCCCCTGTAGTAGATTTACAGGATCACACCCCCCCACACAGTGGGGTTTCAAATCCATGCCTCCCACAGTGGGATTTCAGGCCCCCACCACTGCAGTAGAGTTAAATCCCCCTCCCCCCACAGTGGGGTTACAGGTCCACCTACCCACAGTGGGGTTACAGGAAGAACAACACCATAATGATTGACCGGCAGGACCTCTCATCAGGCCATTTAGAAGATCCCGAGAAGAACAATAGAAGAATGACTGAGGGCAGGAGCTCAGTCATCAGGCCGTTTAGAACATCCCGAGAAGAACAACAGCAGAATGACTGACGGCAGGAGCTCAGTCATCAGGCCATTTAGAACATCCCGAGAAGAACAACAGCATAATGATTGACCAGCAGGACCTCAGTCATCAGGCCATTTAGAAGATCCCGAGAAGAACAACAGCAGAATGACTGAAGGCAGGAGCTCAGTCATCAGGCCATTTAGAACGTCCCGAGAAGAACAACAGCAGAATGACTGACGGCAGGAGCTCAGTCATCAGGCCATTTAGAACGTCCCGAGAAGAACAACAGCAGAATGACTGACGGCAGGAGCTCAGTCATCAGGCCGTTTAGAACATCCTGAGAAGAACAACAGCATAATGACTGATGACAGGAGCTCAGTCATCAGGCCGTTTAGAACCTCCTGAGTAGAAGCAATGGGAACAAACTTACTGAATCCCAACACAGGAATTTTGGGCATTAGGAATACTAGGAAAATCTCCTTCCAGAAAGCATGGCTCTGTGCAGGGACTCGCTGTTCTGGGAACAGGCCTAAGATGGACAGGTCGTGTGGACTAAAGCATGGCTCTGAGGGTTTGCACATGCGCTTCATGAATTTTAAAGAAATTTAAAAGTAAATACAAAGGAACAAAAACAGCAAATGAGCACAGAATACAAACTATTCCTAATGTTTTCTGATTCGGAGAGTGTCATGGCTGTACGACAGCTTGTGGCATGATGAAAGATACTGTCAAACATGCTACTTAACCTTGGATAAACAGCAGAATAGTTAACTGGGTAACATGAGGACCGTGGGGAACATGAATACAACAAATACCATGGAGTCGGGGGGAGACATGAACCCCAGCATCGATCCCGACATCTGAGAGGAACGAGCCAAATAGCAGGTAAGGAAAGGAAAGCACCAGCCTGGACCTTTTTTCTTGATTTCATTATGATTTGTACCTGCTTGTCATTCACACGCAAGTTAACCCACTCCATAAGTGAGGGTGTCACTTCACATCACAGTGTCAGCAGTGCAGATGGATGTGACAGAGTAGATCATCTGGTCTCCAGAGACATCCGCCTACAGCCAAGTGGCCCAGACTGAGGGCTCATTCTGAAAGATAAAAGGAAGCTCTGTGAGAACAGCAGGACAATGGCTCGTTTGGCAAACGGAGCTGCGTGCTGTGAAGTCAGTCTAGGAAACAAATGTACACTAAAGGTCAGGGAATGAGGGTCAGGAAGTTCACACAAAGGCTGCTAGCTGACGTGAAAGCTTTGGATCAATTCAAGAGAAAAATCAAAATATGCAAAATTTACTTTTAAAAGGGAAAAAGTCCAGCTGGACTCTGCTAACTACATGCATCTGCTAATTCCTGCGCTTCCCTACAGCACTGGTCCCTGGGACCGAATTCCCACTCGATGCCCCTGGCTTCCGGAGGCCGGGCTGTTTGACACGAATACAGACTTTCTATTTAGAAAGCTGGGATACTCTATAAGCCAGGAAAGACTTACTGGGTGAAAACATTGAATAGACCCCCCCATATGGAGGCCTGTGGCCTCTAAACATTTTTCAGAAACTCTAACATTGCTGCTATTAGTAGCATTAATGTCTTTGCTACTTACATGTTACCATAAAATAAGATCTGCATAAGTCACAGTGTGTTTATTATCGACAGGATTAAAAGGCTGTCACTGCTCATGCTGGATTGGATTTTTTTAATGTTTCCTATAAGTACCAGAATCAAAACAACTTAAAGTAGGTAAATGTTAGAGCAGGTCACTGCATTGCAATATGCAAAATTAAAATTTAGCGGGATTATCCCTCATGGATTCCGCGGGAGCACACGGGATTACACCTCATGGTTTTAGGAGGAACATACACGTAAAGGCCTTCACAGAACTGCCCTTTGTGGAACTCCACTCTGGTCTGCTGCCAAAACCTGGAGGGCACAGAGTTACATCTGGGTCGTGTCCAGGCACTGACTCTGTACCATCTCACTTGTCCACTTTTGGTCATTACTTCTGATCCTCAATAACAAAAAAAAAAGAACAAAACAATTTGCCTGAAATAGTGTAGGTGCTGTTTTATCACAAATTTTTGGTCAAATATTTCTGTGGTTTTGTTGATACCAAGCAAACGTGAGTCATCAAAAGCTCAGCCTGCAACGTAAAGAGAAACAACTTTCTCTGAAGAAACTCAAAATCATGACAAGGTGGTCACACCTGAAAACATCCCTCATCAGCCTGCGATCAGCTGACCCACCCTAACAGGAATGCCAGTCTGTAACAATCCCGCACCCAACACCTCCCTACGCTGAACAATACAGTCTGCAGTTTGCCATTTTCAGTTGACTCTGTCATTTACTGAGGCTGTGACTGTTGCCACATTAATACATTAAGAATCAAAAGATTTCAGACCTGGTTTCAGACCTGGTTTTTGACAGCCCGCTGTTTCGTGGTTTGCCTGGAGAAGCCCATCCTAGATCGGGTTTAAGTTCAAGTCAAGCTTCCGTGGCACTTGGGCTTTTAGGCACTGCTGGCTTCACAAACCATGCAAAGTGTGACCTTCTTTGATTAAACATTCAAGGTCATTTGGGAACAAGCAGCACCAGAAGAAAGATGCAAGCATAGATCATCCAGTGAGTCTTTCAGGACTCTTTCAGGACTGGAAAGCACTAGACTCAAATGAATAGACTCAAATGACTAGACAAAGCCACCCCGGGACATATAACTATGTTCATATGCTCGGAGCTATGAAGAATATTCTGCCGACTGTTCAGTGTTGACGGCAAAAATTAATTCTTTTAACCTTAAAAACTCAAAACAGTTCAAATGATTAATCCTATGTTTTAATGCTAAAATATGCCGAAATTGGATCTGTGTCTCTAAAGTGTAAGAATCTCTAGGATGAGATTCCCTTATATGTTCCAGAAAATTCCAGGCCCAGATTTCACCAAATGTGTTCATTGTCCAGTTCCACCTTCTCACAAGTCCATCTCTTCACCATCAGCCTGTACTTCATACATAACCCAGAAAGCCCCGGAACTTTGCTTTTGAAAGCAGGAGGGTACCATTATAGACTACAGTGAATTCTAGTGACCAATGAATAGTGGCCCTGAACACTGAACAATGAGGACATTCTAGATGTCCTGTAGCATACTCCCACAGCAGACCTTGAGCCTTTGAATGCTTCTTCTCCCTGGTGATCCATCCATCCATCTTCCAACCACTACTCCCAGGCAGGAGGGTAGGGGTGACTCGAGCCTGTCCCAAGCAGC